ACTCCTATTAAATAGTTATTGTGTGCCAGGCCCTATTTTAGGAGCTTGAAATACATTTTAGTGAAGAAATAAGCAACCAAAACAATCTGCTTCCCAACCACACTTCCTTTTAAGCCAAAGAAGCCAGATAATAACAATACAATGGATAAATTAATAACAAATACTTGATACTAGAAGGTAATAACAGGAAAGAATAGGATAGTGGGATACAAACTGATAGATGGGAGATTAAAATAAAAATAGAGGGCCCTCCCTGGTGGTGCAGCTGGTTAAAACACAGCACTGAGAAGCTAAAGCCACTTCAGCATGAGTTCAATCCTCTGCCCCAGAGGTGACCCACATGGCACGGCAGACCTCTCCTGACCTGCCTGCTGCTCTCCTCAGCAGTGTACTTCATCAGTCGGGCTGTTCTGCTCCCCACTCTGTCTCTGGTGAACTCTCTCACCACCCCTACACCTCTGGCTTGTACCCCAGTTCTGTATGCATAAATAGATTTTTGTTTGTTTGTTTGTTTGTTTGTTTGTTTTTTAAAGATTTATTTATTTATTCGTACAGAACTGGGGTACAAGCCAGAGTTGCGGAGGGTGAGAGGATTCACCAGAGACAGAGCGGGGAGCAGAACAGGCAGATTGACGAGGTACACTGCTGAGGGGAGCAGCGGGCGGGTCAGGAGAGGTCTGCCACGCCATGTGGTCACCTTAGGGGCAGGCGGGAATCGAACTCATGCGGAAGTGGCTTCAGTTTCTCAGTGCTGTGCTTTAACCCGCTGCGCCACCAGGGAGGGCCATAAATAGATGTTTTTAAAAAATGTAAGTAGAGAGACTGCACAGGGCTTCCTTGAGAAGCTAGCATGTGAACACACGTCTAAAGAGTGCAGGAGGTTTGCCCATCAAAATCCTTAAGGGAGAGTCAGTGCACAGTTCCTAAGTGAGGAAGGTAACTGTGTTTTCAGAACAGCAGGGAGGTCAAGTAGCTGAAGCACAGTGAGCATGGGGGAGAGCGTCGAGAGGTAAAGGTGCATGGGACAGAGTATATAAGGTCTTAACAGGCTAGTGGGATGACAATGGGTTTTTCCCAGTTGAAACAGAAAGCCATTTGAAGGGCTTAGGGCAGGAGAGTAGCATAGTCTACTGACTATTTTAAAAGGATTACAAGTCTGGAAGATGGGGTGGGGGGGGCAAGTGTGGGAGTAGGGAACCAGCAGGACAGGCCACTGTACTTACCTGGCAGAGACAAAGGTGGCTGGAGCAAGGGTGTCTGCAGGCAGAGTGATGGGATGTGAGAGCAGAGCAAATTGTACATGGGGAGTCAGGGGAAGAGAAGTCAAGTTTGGGGTCTACGTAGCAATTGAAAAGACAAGTTTCCACCAACTGATATGGAAAGAAATGTTGAAAGAATAATGTGCAGGGGCTGAAGAGGGGGCAGTGGTGGGAAATCAGATCGTTTTGAATCCATGGATTCTAAGGTGTCAGTATGGCAATTTCCATCAATGCTGTGGAGGTAATTGCTGGTTTCTAGTCTGCAGACTGCATATGCCTCATCTTTTCTCTGACACCCAGAATGGTGCCTACTTGCAGAGAAGCCCATTACATATTTATTGAATGGAAGATGAATTGTTGAAGAAATGAATGAATATTGGCCGAAATTAGCAAATTGGAAAGAATATGCTTTAGAAATCTTTGTGCCATGATTCGGAAGTTGTTTGTGCAAGATAAAAAATAAATTTAATATTTCCAATTTCTATTTGGTGGTAATTAAAATATAGTAAATAGTGAAACTAATATAACATTATATTTGTATTAATTGAATAAGGTTCATTTTAATTAGGAAGCTAAAGAAGTTGGATTAATTTGGGGGGAAAGTCTATAGCTGGAACAATAACTGATTTAATATTTCTGTAACTTGATATAACTGATATAATTTGTGAAACTTAATCATAAAGAAAATTCAATATAATAAATAGTATTTTTCTAGGTTTTTGTGTCTATGAAACAGGTTCTTATAGTAGCATAGTAAAAATTATTTAATTATCAGGAATTTATCGGTACTTGTTACAATCAGTGACCCAAAAGGACATAAATAAAAAATAATCTCTTGTTCCCTTTCCTTGATGTATTTCTTTAGATAATATATTGAGAATATGTTACCTGGTTTTATTTAGTTAAGTTAAATGGTCCCCTCTGTAGTTTTCTGTCCACTTTTTCTTACAGAAGCACACACAATAATGAGAGCCCCACCTTGTAATTTTCACTTCTGACTCCTGTCTTGACACCTAACACCTGTCAGCTCACCCTTTGGTAAACCCATACATACCTCTCTCAAATGAACCAAATATTTTTAATTCTTAGAACATTTAAAAAAATGCATTTCTTGAATCATGCATGTCACCCTGCTACATCCATTCAGTTCCTATACATGTCACCCCCACCCCATATTTTTCCTCTTCAGTGACATAAAAATCCTTCTCAATGTCCCTCCTTCCAGCTCCTCTCTTTCTTTATATTATCCTAATCGTACAGCAGCGTGTTAGCAGATTTGACATGTAATATTCTCTACTGTATTTGCTTATCGACATGTGTGTATCCTCTATTGTTATTGTGGATTATCCAAGGCAGGTTTATTTTTTTGTTCTGTATATCTAGTTCCTGGCCCTCTGCTCATGGACAATGTGTCTGTGTTAGAATACACACCCACCCAAAGCCATATTCACCCCACAGATTTTCAATTCTTTTTATCAAATTTTAAAGTTTACCCAAAATGCCTCCTATTAGCGCCCAGGTTTCTAAACCTTCCTAAGCGTCTGTAAATGTTTGCAGCCTGGAAATTAGTGGCCATAACTGCATTTGCAGATGAGGACTTAGGGTCTGGGGACAAACAGGGAATCAGGGCGCACATCTTTCAGTTTATAAGCCTATGCTCTAAAACACCCAGCAATGAAAGACCATTATGAGCCTTGGAACTTTCGCAGAAGCAACAAAAAGCGTACCTTAAAGGGGAATCACCACAGTCTAGAAAAAAGGTCGCCATCAAGGTCTCAACTGAGTGAAATCTGGCAGCACGTTTTGTAAAAATGTTAGTAGAGTGCATTGCCAAAGATCACTGTCACCATGTTTGCTTTGCATTTTGATGCGTGGGGCATGAATAATAATGATATGGCTTCCATGAGTAAAAAAGTCATCTCATTTTGCTTTCCTCCTTCTCCCAGCAGGCAGCAGTGGGAGGCAACTGGATGACTAATAGAACAGTTAGACCTGGTACCATTTGAGAGTGGGTGCCACTCAGCTCCTCCTCAGAGAACCTGAGTGGCACCACTGGCAAGTGGATGGAAGCCCCATTTCCACAGAACGGTCAGCCTCACGCTTCGCTGAACGCTCGTGGAGACTTACACTGACATGTAAGAGGAGGCGCCCAGGTAGCTTTGCCACCTGAAGGCGCCCGAAACGCTGCTCTATATAGAATCCATGCTGACTCTCACTCAAGGTCATCAGACAAGAAGTCACCTAATTCTGAGAAAAATTACCTGTGGGCTATTTTTTGACATCCTCTGGGATGTTTGCTGAATTTGACTTGAAATTTAAAGGATCCATCTACGCATCCAAAGGCGGAGAACGTCAAAACTTCTAATACTCATCTCAGAGACTCACAGTGAGACACAGATTTAAAGCTCAACATGTATATTTATTTTTATCCATGAAGTGCAGGGGAAAATAAAAGAAAACAAAACACCTCCCTAATCTATAAACATAACTGTGAGAGAAACTGAAACAACAGAGCCCTTTACTCCTTCACTGTATAATACACAGTCTGATTTACAATATGCAAACAAGTTCGCACAATCACTATCCTTCTGAAATCACTTTGAGCTTTGGTTCTTAATTTTCATGAATCCAGTTTCACAACAAATGTGAATATCTCATCCGACTTACTCCTCAATCCATCACTGCCAGGCTATACTCTATATCTTGCTCTAAATAAAGTGACCAATAACAAAAACCACCTCTACCAACTGCGGAAGTATTTACTATACACAGGTAAATATATGCGCAGGTGACTAGCACAGATTGTAAGCACAATAAATTGCACTGAGTAAAAAAGTGAAGCCCCAGCATGTCCAACCCCCTGGGGAGCAGAAATGGAAGTGCTTATGCCAGAGCAGGTCGCTGCATTTAGCGTCCACAGATGCTTTGTTAGTTGCATAAAATATTATACTTTTTAAAAAATTACTAAACGGAATTGAGATTTTTATTTTCTTATAGTGTCCCAGAGGCCAATTTATACACCAGGAATTATAATTATGATTTATGGCTAGCTGGCTATGCATATATATATATATATATATATTCAGTATATGTCTATATTTTGTATATATACAGTATATATCTATATCTGTACACACAGACACAGATAGAATGATGTAGAAAGATAGACATCCCTTCAGAAAACCATGTTTGCAAATAAATCAAAGAAAAATAACAGCCAATTTACTTCTAATATTCTAATATTCTACATAGTTAATATATACCAACATCTACAGGCATAAATGTATATACTTATATAAATGTGTTTCTTGACTCAGGTATTTTGAGCAATATAAATGTTTATTGACTGAGTATTTTGAAGATCAAGGACAAATCAGTAACTCTTGTCCTTCAGTTTACTGGCAAGTAGAAATTTTCTAAGGCATAGTCCCACTGCTCCTTATTCATCAGACCTTAGCTTAACAATGGCCTCCTCAGGCCTTTGGAGAGCTGGAGGACACACAGGGGCCTCTGGGCTTGCTGTTCTCTTACTTCCTGGCATTCTTCTTTCAGAGTTTATTGTCTTTCACTAGACCTTAAAGAGGCAGGATCCTTTCTTTTTTTGACTTTCAAGTTCTCAGCCTGGTTGAGCATCCACGCAATAAAAGAAATCAAGTGGATAAATAATGCATGAAATTGTAAAAACATCTTTGGAGGCTTCTCCCCTCTCACAGCATAGAAAAATCAGAAACTTAAGCAAACCTTAATTGTGGTTGTGTGTGCCCCGGGGTACTCCTTTTCTTCCAGGGTAGACCATCTCTCTATAAATTTCGATACCAAGGAATCATCATAGTCGACTATCTGAAATCCAGAAACATTTGCGCCTCCAAACTGAATTTTTAATAGGTCTCCATCAGTGAACCCCTAGAGAGAGAACAAGTTCATGTGATGCTTCCAGTGGGAACGAAATAGAACGTAAGGTTAGTTGCCCTAGCCCCAGTGAAACTTCCTCAAAGCAATCAATGTCAATATCAGTAAGTCTTGTCTTCAGTATTTACCTATATATTTCTGCATACTCTTTCTTGAGTTATCAATTTTAGGCATTTTATTGAGACTTTACTGACACCAAGTGACTCTGTAATTTGTTCACATAACCAAACACGATCTCATCATCTCATCATTCATTGTAATGCTTATTGTTTGCATATTTAATATTTCTAGCAACCCCAAATACTGTACCTGGATTGCATTTTCCTTCTTAGCAATATTTTATTCCAAAATTAATAATGGCTGGCATTTTTTTTGCTCCTAAGATATATACCTATCTGTAGTCTCTTTCTAGTTGCTCTATGAAAATTTTTCATGTTTATATGAGTAAGGCATTTTTTAAAAATAAGAAGTCAAACATGCCAGGTAATCTACTTAATTTGTTTTCTGAATTGTAAGTTCCCAAGGAGAGTCCCCCTCCCCTCAGCTCTGGTCTTCTTGGGATCCTTTTGGGATTCTCTCGATGGTCCTTACCCTAGACTGTCCCTTCTCCACGTTTCTGAGTAGTTTCTGTTTTCTTGATCAGGTTTCACTCATGTTTTACTCCTTTCTTCTGTTAGAGTATAAATAATTTCTTGAGACATATTGGAAGTAATATTTTTAAGACATTATATGTGTAAAAATACCTTTGCTTTGCACTGATGCCTGACTTGTATTTTAGCTGTCAAATTTTAAGTTAGAACTCTCCTAATTTGAAGGCATTTGTTTTTTTTGTTTTTTTTTTTTTTTTTAAAGATTTATTTATTTATTTGTACAGAGCTGGGGTACAGGCCAGAGATGCGGAGGGTGAGAGGATTCACCAGAGACAGAGCAGGGAGCAGAACAGGCAGATCGATGAAGTACACTGCTGAGGGGAGCAGCGGGCGGGTCAGCAGAGGTCTGCCACACCATGTGGTCACCTCCGGGGCAGGCGGGGATCGAACTCATGCGGAAGTGGCTTTAGTTTCTCAGTGCAGTGCTTTAACCCACTGCGCCACCAGGGAGGGCCCATTTGAAGGCATTTGTTTCATTCACTTCTTCCATTTCTATAGAAAAGTGTCGTGATTTCTAATATTTTTGCATGTAACTTGCTTTACAGTCTGCCCCAACTTCTACCTGTCAGAAACCTTTGATAACTATCTCTAAAATCTCATCATGTATTTTCTTTGAAATATGAAAGAAGTCATTTATCTTTCATTATTTTGTGGACTCAATGGACATATTTGTGTCATTAAGTACTGAAATTTTTCTGAATTATTCTTTGATAATTTCAGTAACTATTATTAGGATATTGTAACCCTTAGAATAAATGCCTAAGTTCCTCTAAGTTCTTTTAGACACCCAACTGTATATTATATATCCCTTCATTACACAATCAGGAAGATTTTCTCAACTTTATCTTTAAGTCTTGTCATTTTACTTGTTATTTTAGAAAAAATAACAACCCCAAACTATTTGTTATTCTCTGATTATTTTCTTTTTCATAGCATCATATTTTTTGTAGTTAGATTTTTTTTCTTATTTCTCTGCAGATATTCTTTACAATTTTAAATATTTTTCTCATGCTTTCTGCCAGTTTTGTTTACGTTTCTTTGAATTACAAAGACTTTTCTTAAATGTCTGGCTGTGCTATTTTAGTTTCGAGAAATATACTGAAATTTCTTTGGAATTTCCCTGCACATGCACAAGACTCAGAGGCGTACTCTTCACTGTAAGATAGACCATGGGTGGGGTAGATAGACCCACACTAAGTGGGTCTGTATCTGACCCACTTAGGGAAGGAGAAGTGGACCCCTTATGCCAACTTCTTCATCCCTGTATGTGCAAGTTTTCCTCTTGAATATTGTATCAGAAACTACATCAACAGCCTGTGTTTGGGGAGCCTTATCAAGCATTCAGTAGTTCCCAAAGTAACCAATAATGATATCTGAAGATTTTTCTGTCTTTTATAAATCTATTTGAACACTCCTTAGACACTGGGCAGGACAAAAGGGGGCATTCCCAGTTAAGAATTTGGAAACTGAAAGTTCTGTAACTCTTGAGGGCAGCCTTTAACTTTAAATGCTTGTGATATTTTGTGAAGTGTTCAGGTATTCTCTAACTTCTCAGAAATTGCAGCATTCTACCCATTGTTTCAATGGACTCACTAGCACTTCCACATGGTGAGGTTACCAAGGATTCAGACAAAAAGTAACAGAAGTTGAGTCCATATAAAAACAGTAGGTAGCTTTCCCCCTATGGCACAGCAGCAGCGTGAACTTAATGGTTGTTTTTTTTTTTTTTTAGTCTTTTTTTATTTTGGCTATTCAAATACTTCTTTCCTTTTTTCATAGCATCAGATATCAACTCTCAAATTGATGAGCCACCGTCTGTCATTATTTCTCAATGTTCCAATATAATCTTCTCCATCTGGACATTTTTAAAGATCACAGCTTTCAATGTGGCTCTGTGTTGTTCATCAAATGGCACAGTTCACACAAGGGACTGACTGTCCAGGCTGTTCCCTGCCCAGAATGCAGTTCTGAAGAGAGTGAATAAAGAGCTTCATCTATTTTAACTCTTGCTTCTCTGGCAGGGAGTCATTTATGCTCTATAACATGATACGGGGACGTTCTAGTGAGTTTGCATAGTAGTTTGCCATTTTATGAGCAAACAAAAATTTACTCTTGAACAACTCATCTCTCCAGTAGCATGTAATTTGAGATTTATTATTTGAAATTATTGGTACTACCACCTAGTAAATACTTTTGTCTGCGATAGTTGGTTTGCTTTCTTTTTCATCTGTTTCATTCACTACCAGAAATAGTGTCTTTTGAGAAGCCATGTGCTAGATATTATCTGCATAAATATAAAACCTTTCAAATCCTATTTTGCTATTTGGAATAAGCTGTTGTTTCCCTACTCTAGCTTTTTTTCACCTTTTTTCTGAACTTGGGATAGAGGGGAATCCTCCACCACACAGGATCACTTTTATTTAAAGAACACAAACCTTAACAACAATAAAGCTTTAAGCTCACTATACTGCTGATTTAAACTATTTGGGAAAAAGATATGTAATAATTTAAATTGATCTAACTATAGTAATAGAAAAATATATAACTAAACACTTGGATATTCAGTGCAATATTAATTTGATAGAAATCCCAGTGGAAAGTTATTAGCCACAAGGAGTCAATATTCATTGTGTTCCTTATATAACAATAGGAAACCTGAAAAACATGATATAAAGTATCAATCATATAGATGTTTACAGGCTGAATTTTGCACTGAGACATATTCCTTCTATATGAATTTATAATTTATAATTATGGGCAAAGAGTAACAAAATATAGAGTAAATGAGAAATAAGGGGAAATTTGGAAAATTAAATGGTATTTTTAAAATTTCCCCTTAAAGTCATCTTCTAAGATAATTTGTATAGCTTGTTACATATTTGCTATAATTTATTATTCATAACAAAAATAACATGTTTAGCAAATATGGATTGTGAAATAAATTAAAAACTAGGTCAGAAAACACTATCTTCTACTTATACAATATAATTTACAATATTTTTTAAAATATCCACCAGTAAATACTGGTAATTCATAATTACATTTTCAATTACTTTGCATGTCTGTAAAATAGAAAATACTAAGTAATTCACCTACCAGATTTGCAATGATGTAATGGTAACCTTTAACATGTTTTCCAATGGTAATAACCTGGCAATGATAAAAAAACAATTATTTAGTAAATACTGTAAATGCAAAATTATGGATATAATGGTCTGATTACATAAAAATGGAACTTTTTCTACTCAATTTTATGATGCCTTATAATTAATCATATTGATAAAATATAATTACCAAATCCAGAGCTTATTGCTCTCAGAACAATGTAACAATATATTTTAATAGTTTATACATTGTCAGGGGATAATTCAATAAGGTTCAAACCTAAGCCCCTACTTCTTCGCCAGCAGGCAAGATCGGGAGGCTTGAACAGATAAGGTATGAAATAAGGTTGCCATGGGAACCAGGTCAAAAGACTAACCACATGGCCAGAGAAAACAGCCAGCTCCAGGGAAGCAGAAGCATTGCCAGGACACATTCTGTGTCAAAGCACCAGAGACCAGACACCCCAGCAGAAAACTGATGAAATTCGTGTCCCAAGGACGAATCCCACGGAAACAGTGTAAATGAGTACCTCAAAGCCTGCTACTGCTCAGATATCTAAGCCCATCTGGCCCTGCGCTCTTATGCAGGGTGTTTCAATGAATCTGACTTTTCTGACCCTCACTGTTACTGGAGAGTTTTTCACTCCCATGCTCCAGCCTCATCCTGTGATGGCAAAGCCACCTGGATGCTATCCTTCAAGAATTCAGTAACTAAACACAATAAGTAATTGCCTCCTCTCTGTGAACAGTGAAAACAGTGTATGATTCTTAACATAAAACCAAAAATAGGTTTAAGTCATAGCCATACATAATTCTATTCTGATAAAAGTGACTTTTTTTTCCTTTTCAATGAAATATTAAACATCTGAAACCAATAACTGATATTTTATATCCACATAACTACTTCCAAAGGTAAACTGTTAATATTACATACATTTTAAAAGAATATTAATAAGCTGACAAAAGAATTCTCATATGAACCTATAAAATAATCTTCCTCTTAAGAATCTTGAAGTGTTTAGTTTAGCTCAAATGAACATTATTGTTTCTAGTCCGTGGCAGCAAAGTATCAGAGAAGCTGATTTTTCTATGTCTTACGTCAAAATCAATGGTGAGTTAAACATAAGAAAATAGTGGCCGATTTGCTGATGTACACAATAGGTTCAAAGATAATTGAATCAATGTGACTTTTCACTGATCTGTATAATTTATGAGAAAAAATAGATGAAACGGTCATGATATATTCCCAGCACTGACATATTCAAATGTAATTTCTAGTTTTAATAAAAACATTCTCACCAATGGGAGGCATGAAATAGCAGATCTCTCTTGCTCCCAGGTCAGAAACTCAAAGGGTTGGCTCACCACCTTATTAAACAAATTTGGTGATTTCTCATTGCTTCTAACATTATTTTCTTGGGACCACTGCAGTGTTGGTCCAGAAATATTATTATATACTCAGAGAAGTTTACTGAGGTAAAACCAACCAAATGCTACCTACATATGAAATCTTCATTGGCCACCTCTCCCTATTAACACACATTTTTAGACCTAACATGCTTTCTTAGAACATATTGTATTGTAACTTGCTGTATTACAGTATTGTGTGTGTGCATTTTGTCTGTCTAAACAGAGTTCATGGGTAACAGACACCACTCTTTCATATCTTTCTTTGCATCCATCATTCTAGACACAAAGATAGTCTTCATGTTGAATTATGTAACCATCCATGTCATACAATTAGTGTCTTATGAAAATATAAACAATATGTATGCAAAATATCCTGTGTAGTTTAAATAGAACTCTTTATGGACATTTATTTTATCATGATCATATATTTGCTTCCAAGCATTACATTCCATGTCTTTCCAGTTTCTCTATTCTGGTTTTTGAAATAATTATTCTCATATAGGCTTCACCAACATTTATTTTGATAAGTCATGAATACTTAAAAGTTTTTTTAAGCCAAAGACTAATGACAATTATTAAAATTCAGTTTTAATGAGAATCTCCTGTGAAATTCAAATGTGTTGTTAAGGTTCACTTTTGAGCAAGAGACCTTCAGGTTAAAAACAATCCTAACTTCATCTCCTGAGATAGGAATCAAATTTTTGCTAATGAAATGCTCACCTCTCTGCCATATAACCCCTCTGTCTCAGAACAAGCTAGTTTTACTCAGTTACTCAATATTTCATGAGCAATCCATTTTGTATGTCTTAGAGCCTATATTATTACATATCAATTAAGACTTCATCAACATTTATGTTTGCAAAATGCTTTGTGTTCTATAAATTAATGTTTTCTCTTCAAAGTTTAGAAGACCAAGAAATCTATACAAAACAGTGTATTTTTCTTCCAATCCTATACCAACTTTCTTTGAAGGAATTAGCAGACACCACCCTTTCCTATACACATGCAAACACGAGCTCATGCAGACATACCGCAGGCACACACACAATCACTCATCACTGGGAAATGAAGTAGATATTCAGGAAAAGAGGTTTCCTCAATAAATCATAGTGCTATTTTATTACCACCCAGGTCACTTCCCCAATCTATAAAACAATGGATTTTATTGTTATCATTAGGGTCATGCTTCCTGACTGCCCTATCCTGAATTAACAACTGGAAAAGATAGGTGGTAAAGGAAACATAGATCAAACATCCTTATCTCTGCTACCATGTTACTCTTTAAAAGACTCCACATTAATACATCTAGTAAACTAAATGAGTCTTCCTTACATATTTTATTTTACCTATTAATCATTTCATAGCTACACAAAACCTATACTGTAGGAGGATGAAGTTCCTTCTTAGCAAAGAAGCACATGCTCCTTCAGAAGATAGAGACCTATGTGGACAAAAACACAGGCTTGGCACTCAGTACTGCACTCAGGTTTGACCAAATCCATGTATCACAAAAGAATTCAGAAATGTCTCACCTTCTCTTTATGGCAAAATTTATTTTCACTTAGTACATGTTACTTCTTATTTATAATGAGTTATTTTTTTTAGTTTTTTATATATAAAATAGCTGGGGTTCAGGCCAGAGATGTAGAGGGTGAGAGTATTCACCAGAGATCAAGTGGGGAGCCGAACTGACAAACTGACTGAAATACACTGCTGAGGGGAACAGCTGGCCAGGAGACAGAAGAGGTCTGCTGCACCATGTGGGTCAGCTCCAGGACAGGGATCCGAACTCACATCGCAGTAACAGGCTATTGCTTCACAGCACCGAGACCAGAGATACCTCATGGTAACTTGTATATCTCTAAAAAGTTCACAGAACTAAAATTTGAATTTCCCCAATTTAAAAATATCAAAGTTTAGGGCAAAAAAAAATGTCAAAGAGTTAGGAACTATATATTTTTAAGTTGAATGATTTGTTGACATGACAACATTATTGAAGACCATCTGCTTTTTGCTAAGTGAAGCCCGAAATCATTTAATTGACGGTAAAATCTTCGCTATATCATACATAAACCATAAAGTAGAAACTGTTGTTTTAGCGCCTCACACAAATACTCATTGCAACTGCTGACATTCGTGCATAGCCTGTATCTGGTGCCATTAAAAACAGAGAATGCAAACCTGATCCACAATGTCGTTGACTTTATCCCTTTCGCAGTCCAGGATAACACGCCTTTCCTTTTTTAACTCCAGATCTTGAAAAAGGGATCGGTAGGTCTCATCTTTCTTGTCATTGTTGATGTTTCCCACATTGATGGCAGTAACTTGCCATTTCTTTTCAGCAGCAGAATCCAGCACAGCTTGCAGTGTTGATAAGCCTAGAGAGGCAAAGAAAAGTGATGACTGATACAGATAGTGAATAACTCAGGATTGTGTTGGAAAAATGAGAGTGAATGTATTTTTAAGGATGATATTTTTGTGCCACTAAAGGGATGTTATGCCTCCAGAAAGATACAGCTTTGATTTTTATCAGCATTTACTTATTTCCCCTCCACGTCAAAAACTTTTTATTTAAACGCTCTTGTTCTGACCAGAAGAATGATAGTTGGAGGGAGAATTGTTGTCCTTTCCTTCTCAAACAGTTATCTTACTTGGATGTTACTAACATATAATGTCTGTAATACCTTGTTTCAGTGAAATCAAAAGACAGTGCAATTGTTTTTCTCTCATAGAAAGGGAAAAGACAGTCTGTAACATTTCATCTTAATACCCCGAGCGGTTGTGTACATTTTCAGCGAGAGGGCGGTATTGTAGTCAGGGTAGCCTGACTATGTTTTCTTATCTGCAGTGGCTGTGTCTGTCCTCAACCCTTAATTATTTAAATTTATTGTTGTTGTTATTGGGACTAGTCCTGCACAGATTACAATGTTCACATAATAATCAAACAGAAGCAGTTGGCTATTTTTTTTAACATTTTAAAAAAAGATTTATTTATTTATGCATACAGAACTGGGGTACAGGCCAGATATGAGGGGGGGG